TTTTTTTTTGGAAAAGTGTGTGAAAATTTTTATTTTATGGTCAGTCACAATTGTAATTGGTGGGATAATGTGTATACTGAATTAACATATTTCTGCAGTCTTAAAAATTGTTATATATCTTAGCCCAGCTATTTTAAACTGTTTGATCACATTCTAGGGTTACTATTATGCATAAAAAATCCTTATACATCATTGATAGGAATACTGAGATCAAATACAAAAAAATACAACACTTTTTTGTAACATATATCATCACATTTTTATATTAGTGCTACCAGTATTACAACATTAATATTCTAACTTATTTGTAACATTTGAACTTTTGATTTAGTGCAATATTTTGTACTGCCATTAGGGACTGCCAGTGAATGGCTGTTGCATGCATAAAATGCAACCTTTTTATTCTGACAGTGTATGATTTCTATTAACATTACAGAATAGAACATGATCAATATTATCTTTCAACGTTCAATTTAAATAATTGTAATTGCACAAACTATGTAGGCTAATTTCAATTTGTTTATTGTGAAATAACTCAAACATTTATGTTTTTATTTCTGTCCTCTGATAAGCATTGTTCAGGGCTGCCGTTCCCAAAATCTTTAATGCTTTCTTATGATACTTTTGGGAAACGCAGCCCTGTTTGAATGCACTGTCAGAAGTGAGTGAATGCTCTCTGTGATTGATTGGTTCTGTCTTGCAACATTTGCGTGTGTTCAGATGAGCAAGAAAATACTTCTATCCTACACAATTATTTACTAACATAGGTTATTCATCCAATTCAATGCATAATTTTTTTGTTAAATAAACAAAATCACTGGTAAATAAAACACACCTTAGTATCGATATTTATTGTTTGAGTATCGATACTTTCGATACTCGCATCAGTATCGATAAATCGATACTTCGGATCGATACGCCCATCCCTAGTTCAGAGCCGTTGAGCTCCGTAAAGCCACATTTGACAGGGTATGCCAGCCACAATCTCATCCATATTGCTATAAAATATAGCATTCTGTGTAGAATTCAAATAGCTCCGATACATTTTGTGGTCTGCGCCGACTCGCGCATGTGATCCGCTCCGTGCTATCGTGTCTCTGGACCGGAGCAGAGTGTGTGTGAGGTGCGGTGGTTAGCGTGACACAGCGCAAAACCAGACTTCTTTTTTTCCTCAATCGAAAGCATATTTAAACTGTTTGAATCGTTCCCTGTCCCCTATATAGTGCACTACGTGCCATTCACTCTACAGAAAATACTAATTCTGTGGACAAATGACCGATTTCAGCAGCGTCTATTTTATAGTGTAGGGGCGGCCGCTTCGGATTCTAGAGAGCATTTGATTGGACAAAGTTTGATGAGAAGCTGAAGTACGATGTGACGTCAAAAAAAAAA